AGGGGGGGAAACGGGGATGGTTAGGGTTTAGGGTTTCTGAGGGTTTACGGTATTATAGTGTTTAGAATCTTGGAGGGTTTAGGGTTTAGGGTTTAGGGTTTGGGGGTGTTGAGGATTTAGGGTTTAGGTATATCTAGCAAGCAAAGAACAGAAGACAAACACAAACCGCCTTTTAATTTTAATTTTATTTTTTTTTAGGGTTTAGGGTTTAGGGTTTAGGGTTTAGAGTGAAAAGTACTGGCGGTGGTGGTTAGCTATTGCTTGGGGGTATTTTCTAGGGTTTAGGGTTTAGGGTTTAGGGTTTAGGATATACTGAGGCTATACAAGCACAAGTAGCAGATATGCAGCGAGATGTAAACCCTAAACCCTAAACCCTAAACCCTAAACCCTAGAGTAGTAATAGCGGTAGGCGGATGAGTGAAGAACACAGGCAAAGGGAGAAAAGAACAATTAGGGTTTAGGGTTTAGAGATAAGAATAATAAGGGTTTAGGGTTTAGAATATAGGGCTAAACGCAGACAAAGGGAGAAAAGAAGAATAAGGGTTTAGGGTTTAGAGAGAAGAATAAGGGTTTAGGGTTTGGAGAGAAGAAGAATAAGGGTTTAGGGTTTAGCGAGATAAAGAATAAGGGTTTAGGGTTTAGAAAATAGGGTTTGATTGAACGAAATTTAAGATCTGCTGCTCTGGGGTTTGCAGGCAGCTGATGCTACAAACCCTAAACCCTAAACCCTAAACCCTAAACCCTAATTCCATCTCATCTCATCAACATCTGAGTGATAAAGAGAGGGTTTAGGGTTTAGGGTTTAGACGAAAGTGTTTAGGGTTTAGGGTTTAGAAGAAAGCGTTAAAATGTTTTGAGTTGAATATCAATATATACTTTTTACCCTTTTCAGTTCTTCTTTCCTCAGCACACTTGCTGCTGCTGCTGCTGCTGCTACTGCTGCTGCTGCTGCTGCAGCTGCTACTGCTGCAGCTGCTGCTGCTGCTGCTGCTGCAGCTGCTACTGCTGCAGCAGCTGCTGCTGCTGCTGCTGCAGCTGCTACTGCTGCAGCTGCTGCAGCTGCTGCTGCTGCAGCAGCAGGTAGGTGCGTAGAACACCCCAGGAATTCAACTTTTTTTGTTTTTTATATTGAATAGCATTTTTTTGTTTTTTTATGAAATTATTTTTAATTATATTTATAACATTTATATATATTATATAAATTATAACAAAAGAAAATTATATTTTAGGATTTATTTTATCTGTTTGAGAAAGCAGAAAGCAATATACAGATTCATATTTCCATTTCTGAATATATCTACTACCCGTTGAAGTTTCTTTTTCGGTTTCTGTGCAATAAATAGCGTTTTTTCTGTTTTTTTTTGAATGAAATAGTTTTAAATAATAATTTATTGCGAGAAATCATGTTTTTAG